CTAAAACCTCCTTTTTTTTTTTTTTTTATAAATAACAAACATGTCTATACTTACCTGCTCTATGCAGTGAGTTTCAACGGAACAGCCCTGATCCTCTTCTTTTTGGGTCCCTGACGATGCTCCTCCCCCTCAAGTAGTGCCCCCAGGGAAAGTTGCTTGCCCTGGGGGGCACCGATGCATGCTCATCCCTGAGCCACTGCTCTATGCATCCTTACGACACATAGAGCCACAGCTTGGGGGGGGGGGGCTCACTGCACACAGATGGTTTTTTACCTTCATACATAGAATACAAGTAGGTAAAAAATCTTAAGCCTTTAGAACCACTTTAAGCCTTGCCTCAATGACCACAGGGAGTGATGATGAAATATCTGTCTGGTGAAGGTAGAAACAACAAAAACATATTTATTTAGTAGAGTAAGTTTCAAAGTTCTCTCGGTTTTATTGCTCTTTAAGACGGGTGGTGGTAAAAACAGGTGGCTGCGCTGTCATTTTACCCCCCCCCCCCCGGACTCCCACCTGAATTGTACACTACAGCTGGATAGAGCTGTACACATGCAGCAATTTTAACTCGAAGTGCAGAGTCGGACAGGTGGCAGCGCCTGTCAAACTCACCCATTGGGGTTAAATAGGGCTGCACCGGAAGCCAAAAATAAAAGTTAACCACTTGCCCTCCAGAGGATTTACCCCTCATTTTTTGCGATACAATGCTGCGTTGATTTAACTAACAATTGCGTAGTCATGCAACACTACACCCAAATTAAATTTATGTCCTTTTATTTTCCCCACAAACTGAGCTTTCTTTCGGTGGTCATCTCTGTGGTTTTTATTTTTGTGCTATACACAAAAAAACCGACAATTTTGAAAAAAAAAAAATATGTTTAACTTTTTGCTCCAAAATGCATTCTGCTACTTATCTTTGCTAAAAAAAATCCTAATACGTGTAAATTAATTGGTTTACGTGAAAGTTTATAGCGTCTACATATGGCGATATATACTGGAATTTTTTTTTTTTTACACTAGTAATGGCGGCAATCAGCGACTTGTAGCGGGACTGCGGTGGGCATTCTGATACTTGGGGGGGAACTGTCACTGACATCCCCAGTGACACTAATACTAATAAAAAGCACTGACACTGTACTAATGGCACTGGGCAAAAAGGGATTAACATCTGCTGCGCTCAAAGGGTTAACTCTGTGCTGTGTGTGTTTTACTGTGTAATCACACTGCTTTGTATTGCTCTGCTATGCAGACAATACAAAGCAGTGTGCTGTGCTGGAGCCAACAGGGAAGAGATTTATATTGTTTACATACAGACCTCTCCCCCGTCAGTGTTCCTCAGTGATCGCCGGGTGCTGGGTGCCGGCGGGTAATCTTTGGCTGGAACCAGTGATCGACAGCTGTAGCCGCAAATGGCGTTGCGGGTAGGGTGCGCGCGCCCCCAACCGAAAATACAAAATCACATATATACGTGATTTTGCGCAGCCCTGCCGCCCTGTAGCAGTAGTTCTGCTACAGGGCGGTCGTAAAGCAGTTAAAAAAAGAACCCAAAATACAGGCAATCAGGAAGCAGAAAAAGTACCTCCTGAAAGCATGTCAGCTGCTGCTATACCACCATCTGAAAAGTGATCCACCGCAAAATGAGCGGTAAACACTACCGCAAGACTGAAAGAAACCTTTTTCTGTTTCCTGTTCTGGAGACACACTCTCATCTGTTCTAAAGACACACTCTCATTTCTTGTCTTGGTGTCACTGGGACAGAAAGTGAGGGAAAAATCTCCCCTATAAGGAGACAAAAATAAAAACTTGACTCTGTTAAAAAACAAAATGGCTAGAGCTGGGCCTTAAAGTGGAACTTTATGCTCTCAAACAATATGGAGTATTTTTAATCCTTATAATGCTAGCATTAGTAAACTGAGTATATCATATTTTCATAAACTTTTTATTTTTTTTACATTTCTTCAGTTATTTCCTGCCTAGGAAAATGATGTCATACATCCAAGGAGTCTTCAGGAGAGGAAGTAGGGTTCTCAGCTCAGCCAATGCCTAAGATAAGGGCAGATGGATTCCAGGAAGTAAATACTACATGAATCATCTGCCCTTACTGAAGATGGACACTGCCAGTAATGCCAGGGGGCTTTTTCAAAATGATTTATTCGCAAAATAAAGCAAGGAGACATGGATGGAGTTTTCTTTGAATTTTAACAATGTATTGAATAGCATTTTAGGTCTGTGGTGCTCAGATGCAGTGCAGTTCCACTTTAAGGACCCACCTAAGACTATGATGGAGCAGATGCATTCTGCTGAGGTGATCCACCTGCTCTCCCTTCCTGTAAACATCTGGCTGAAATGTGTGTGGATTTGTAGCTTCCCCATTGTGGGCTCTGTAACATGCATGCCTGTTAACAGGGGTGTCAAGCCCGCAGCCCCAGAGAGTTTAGCATGTGGCCTGGGTCCTTCTGGAGGGACGCTGCGGATGCGGTGCAAACATAGCAGTCTACACTGACAAGCCAGGAAAATGCCTGGAGGGATGCCAGCGCTGCTATGTTTGCAAAAGCACCGGCAGCAGGAAATACAGGGGTGCCAGGTAAGCAAATGCTGCATGGCCGGATATGCGCCCCGTCCCAGATTTCAACTGTACTCTTCCAAAGCCCTCGCTCAAAGCTGCCCCACCTCCCTACGCAGCACATACATAGGCTACATTCACACCAGTGATTTGAACCAATGCGAACTGTAGTGGAATTTCCTCCTGCAGCTCTCAGCAGGTAAGTGAAGTTGCCAACCTTGTTCACTATGACAGTTCGCCAGCAGTCACATCTATCCGTGTCTCTCTACATAGTCTGCGTCCAGCATTGCAGGTAATCACTGGCTGTGTTGAGAGCAGTGAATAGGTGTGGCTCTTGGCAACTTGTCATTATAGTGAACGGGCCGGCCCCAGCGGCTGCATCTACCGGCTAAAAGCAGCAGGAGGAACTGCTCATCAGCTATCCTTATTGTTAGTGTACTTTGTATGCAGCCGAAAACAAATTTCTCTTCTTCCAATGTGGCCCAGGAAGGTCAAAGTTCTGACACCCTTGTGTTAGAGGATATCCGGAAGCATCCCTAACATGAACCCAGTGTGTCTCTCCTAAACAGCACTGGATTGAGGTTTTATTTAACAAGGCCCAACTAATCAACTTTATCCTCTGCACTGGCTCTACTGATTCTGACCACATGAAATGACCAGAAGAGGAGTAAAAAATAATTTCACTTTGCCTTGCTCCCATTCCGCACTCACCTTCTGGTAATTGTGAAGCAATGCCCATAATGCCGAAGCTCCTATTCTCTGAGAGTAGGGGCTGTCACTTTCCAGAGAAGCACAGAGTACAGCTACAATGTTATCTATTGAAACACAGTGACATTGCACATTAATCAGTTTCATTATGCACAATATACAGCTTTTACAACAAAAGATGAATACCATGAAAACCAACCATGACAAAAATAACTCATGTTTAAGACATTCTGCCTATATTACAAGTAAATGCAATGGTGGAATACATCTTATAACATTCATGAAAACACATACATGTCTATACCTTGACAGCCTGACAGAAGTTGTCACTATTGCAAGCTATTCCCTATGTTAGCTTTGTAAACAGGAAATTTGATGTGCAAGGAAAAAAAGCAAAAAAAATAAAAAAATAAAACACACAACAGAACAAAACAGAGCAGCACTGCAATTTTCACTCCCAGTAAAGCTTCTGGAAACCTACTGTCTGTTCATCATCTAAGTGATTACATGTAATTTATGTAATTTGACAGTACATCTGATAGATATTGTACATCGCACATAATTCATAACATTCTGAAACGTTTTTGCTTTCCTTCCTTTTTTAAACAGTGTTCCAATAATACCTGTATATGCAGTCATTGTGGATGAGCAGTTAACACTGGCTAGCAGAATGTATGACCTAGATTCTACTCTTACCAAGGTCATTTGATTGGTTTGCTTTTCTTGTGTTTGGATAGGTTTTGGTTGTTTCTATTAACCAGTGCAGAGTAAATTGATCAGACCATGATTTGACTCAGAATGGTTCAATTCATTGTGATTCATTTAGCCGAGCCTCAGCTCTGCTCATTTTTTCTTTTTTAACATAAAAAGGTACTGAAATGCTCACTTTGGCGGATTTTTTTTTCAGAGCAGACAATAAAAGAGATTTTGTATCCATAGTATAATGTTGTAGTTACATTAAACACACCAGCAAAAATTTCTTTTTTTTTTAGTTTTGAATAGACTGTTGAGGGATAAGAGCATCTGTCAGGTTTTTATTGCTGTCTGTAAGGGAGATTCACCTTCTCTATTTGTCCTGTTTATCATTACCACTAAAAGTGAAAGAAAATCCCAAATATTAGGTTGTCCCCAGAACAGAGGGGAAATCATCCAATGGGGACACTAATGACAACCAGGAAATCCCCACCTTTGGAGGGATTTCCTTTCACTTCCTCTTTTCATTATGGGACAGGAAGTGAAAGGAAATATTCCCAATAAGAAACAGAAGGCAAAAAAACAAACACTCTACAAGGGTTTTACCCTCCCTTACTAATTCAAAATTAGAAAAAATAAATTTTGCCTCTAGTTCTACTTTAACTGCCTCCCGCGCACCATATAAGGAAATGACGGGCACAAGGCAGTTCTCTCATTCTGGGAGGACATCATATGACGTCCTCCCACTCTAACTGCGTGTGCGTGCCCTCGGGGTGCGCAGAGTGGCGATTGGTGGTGCACTGTGTCCCTGTGTCACTGTGTTTTCCGATCAACGGAAAGAGCCGAAGACGTTGGCTAGGTCATGTGATCAGCTGTGTCCAATCACAGCTGATCACATGTAAATAAGGAAATGCTGGTTATCGGCATTTCTCTCCTCACGAGCTGTCACCCTGACAGCTCGAGGAGAGACGGTAATCGGCATTCCTCGGAGGGGACATGTACAGTGTGCCCTGATGATCAGTGTAGCCCCAGCAGTGCCACCTGTCAGTGTCTATCAATGCCACCTTTAATTGCCCATCAATGCCACCTGCCAGTGCCCATCAGTGCCACATATCAGTTCCTACCAGTGTACATCAATGCCACATATCAGTGCCCATCTGAGCTGCCTTTCAGTGCCACCTATCAGTGCCAGTCAGTGCCGCCTATCGCTGCCAATTAGTGTCACCTATCAGTGCCAGTCAGTGCTGCCTATCAGTGCCCATCAGTGCCATATATGAGTGCTGCCTTTCAGTGCCCATCAGTGATGTCTGTCAATGCCCATCAGTGCCACCTATCAGCGCCGCTTATCAGTGCCGCCTATCAGTGCCCATCACTGCCGCCTATCAGTGCCCATCACTGCCGCCTATCAGTGCCCATCACTGCCGCCTATCAGTGACCATCACTGCAGCCTATCAGTGACCATCACTGCAGCCTATCAGTGACCATCACTGCAGCCTATCAGTGACCATCACTGCAGCCTCATTAGCGCACATCAGTGAAGGAGAAAAATCACTTAACAAAATTTTATAACAGAAACTAAGAAAACATTTTTTTTTCCCCAAAATTTTCAGTTGTTTTTGGTTTGTTTAGCAAAAAATAAAAAACCCAGAGGTGATTAAATACCGCCAAAATAAAGCTCTATTTGTCACAAAAACTGCTGAAAAGTCGCCTGGGCAGGAAGGGGGTATAAGTGCCTTGTAGGCTAGTGGTTAAGAACAAGTGCATCACATACACTTCAGTAGGGGCCTCATGCAGCCTTCTGCAGCCAAACTGGTATGACACCTTTTTATTTGTTACATATCCTCATTCACAAAGCACAGCTACAAAATATATTCAAAAACTGAAGCTTACCTTTTGTAGATACTCTTTCTGGAATTTGCAGCAATGTAAAATTCTACTAGTTTTCTTTGTTTATGAGGGGGCTGGGCAGCTGTGTTTTCCATAATTAACCCTGTTTGTACTGTGTAGACAGATCATCTTCTTCATTATCAGTTGTAACTAGACTCGAACAATGTGTGGATTATTTACTAAAAACTGGTGCACTCAGAATCTGGTGCAGCTCTGTACAGAAACCAATCAGCTTCCAGGTTTTATTGTCAACGCTTAATTGAACAAGCTGAAGGTAGAAGCTGACTGGCTACCATGAACAGCTGCAACAAATGCTGAGTGCACCAGTTCTAGTAAATCTCCCCATCCATCCTAACAAAGAGTTAAAGCTTTAGAAACTTGGCTTGCATTTTCTGCTAATGAGAGGGCACTCTGCCTGTTCTTAGCACAGACTCACTCAGAGATTGCTAAAAAAAAATCCCTTGCAGTCAGCCATGAAACCTTCTCCTGAGAAACATCTAAAAGTAAGACATCATTTTATTTTAGGTTTATTGTGTGAATGGGAACACACAACAAACATAGTGGGGCTTTCTCAACTTGACTGGAAAAGTAGAAACACACATGATGCATATTTAGCCACCTTGCCAAGATCCCCTTAAAGTGGTTCTAAAGGTAGAAGGTTTTCAGGCTTTTTTTTTCTTCTTTCTATGCATTAAAGGTAAAAGCCAGGTTTACCTAAAGCCCCCTATCCCGCCCCCCTTATACTTGAAATGCATGAAAGGTGCAGCTCTCCTGGGTAACTCTCTCCTCATTGGCTCACACAGCAATGGGACCCATTGGCTCCTGCTGCTGTCAATCCCAGCCAGTGAGCCAATGAAGTGAAAGTGGTGGTGGGGGTCAAGCCATGTGTGTTTTTTTGAATGGACAATATCCATTCACAGGACTGCGGCTTGAGAGTGAGCCTGCTCGAGTGTCCCCAGAGCAAGAGGCTTGCTATTGGGGGCATTCAGCTGGGGAGAGGATTGAAAGAACAACCTACCCTATTTTAAGAGGTGAATGCCATGTGTTATTGGCCTCAGAACCAAATCTTGGTGGTGCAGCCCTCCTCTCCTGGGGGAATCAACCAAAAACTGGAAAAAGCACACGGGGGCGCAAACACCTAGTGCATTATCCAAGGTTTATCGGAAAATTAAAAACGAAAAACATACTCAAAAAACGCGATGCATATAAAAGCCTGTAGAACCACTGAGATGGCCCAACACGATGGCACAGTAACCGACTGGTGGTGAGGATGGCCTGATTACGTGTTTCAGGGACGTGTCCTCTTCCTCAGCTCTGAAGCCGACAAAGGATTATGCCCTAGTATATATGTGTGTCATAGGTGCTGCCTAGCGAATAGCTCCTCCCCCCTGCCTCAAAGGCAGAGAGAATCAGTGACAATGAAAAATTAAAGATCAATTAAAAACAAAGGCATTGTGCATACTTGTTAAATATTATTATAATATATGTGAAGAGTCTTCCTGCGCCTGGCCCTCAAAATGTCCACTTAGCTCAAAAAGCTTGCAGGTGGGTACTGTGCCATCACGTTGAGCCATCTCAGTGGTTTTACAGGCTTTTATGGGCATCTTTTTGTGAGTATGTTTTTCATTTTTAATTTTCCAATAAACCTTGGATAATGTGCTAGGTGTTTGCGCCCCCCCATGTGCTTCTTTTTCCAGCTGGGGAGAGGAGCTAAGACTGCCGGTGGTGGGATTCAAAAAGAAGAGGATCGGGGCTGCTCTGTGCAAAACCAATACACACAGCAGGTAAGTATGTCTGTTATTTAAAAAAAAAAAAAATTAAAAAAAACAATGCCACATTAGAATTACTTTATTTGTCTGGTCCATTCCATTCGTCGCAAAATCCACAAATACCAGGCACCCTGAGGGATTAGGGTCGAATTCTTCCTAAGCATTGAGTGCATTCATTCAAAAAAGGAATATCAATCTTTGTGGGGACAGAAATATCCTCCATGTGCTTGAAGACAGGTTACAATTCGATTTCTGAATGTCTTTGTTACAAAGGGAATTACAAAAACTCAGTCAAGACAGTAATAACATAAGCTGGCCATAGATGGATTGAATCTTGGCCAGTTCAGCAGGGGCCAGCCAAAATTTGATCTATGGGCAGGCTGGTTGATCCATCGATCGACTTCAGTACAACCAGCCTGTCAAATTGTTTTTTTTACATGCGATTACTGCCTGCAACTATAGCCACCAGCAGTAATCACTGTATTCTGCACAATAGCACTGAGCGAGGGATTCCCGCATCAACAATGACTGTGTTGAGGGAGGAACTGAGCAACTTTCTTTCCTGCAACCATGGCCTGCTTTAGTTTTGGGATGAAAGCAATTACCATGCTCGGAAACTGTACTTACCTTTTGGGTCAAAATTATTTTAAATAATTTATTGGCAGAATAAAGAAAGTATGCAATTCAGAAAGAAAGAAATGCTGACAGTTCACCCGGTCTTTACCATGTCATAGTTGAGAAACCACTGTACTGTACTGTCCTATTAGATTCACATCTTCACTCATCATCATTTTGCAGAACATGGTTTGAAAGTAACTGAAGATAGGGGACAATACACACAAATCTCCAAGACTGTGAGTAAAACCATAAAAAACATGTTCCACGAAAGTGGAGAGTTAAAACATTATTTAAAGAATTACAGCATTATAAACTCTGCACTTACCATTTGAAAGTATCTTAGGTTTATTGGCTGGATTGAAGCAGATGTTATGTAAAATAAGAAGGACCATGGAGAATTTCACTTTCTGCTTATATTTTGTAAGTTCAAGAAGAATTTCTAAGCTTCCTTTCATCTTCATGATCATCAGCTGACCATCACTGGACAAAGACAAGCTCCATAAAAATTTAAGCCATAGGTTAGCTAAATGGCTAAGGCTCTTGTTTCCTCCTTTTGGCCAAGATAAACACAGAAAGTGCTGTAGAAAATTATTCTGAAAACAAAAAAAAAAGAAAAATGTTCCTAATCGTTAATCTGTTACATTAATCAGTAAAATTATCCAGAGAAGCTTGTTCCATGACCATTATCTGCTGTACCATATTGCTACATTTCAGGCCATTATCTGTTATAACAACCTAAATTATCATTGTTATCCCGTGGAAACTTTTAGGATTTGACATATCACTAGAACATATTCCTAAATGCATCAATGTTCTACATAATTAACTATTTCTTCTCAAAGCATTTTGTGAAGCAGAACACAATACACTGTGAGTTCCACAGTGACTTCTATTAAAGAATAATACCATCATGTACAGTATCATCAGACTTACAACTAAATGTAAAGATCTACAACTAAATAAGATTCATGCTCACACATGTACAAATCTGTATCTTCTTTTATATTGTGTTCTGTACATATTAAATATGGAAATAATGGAATGACACTACTAATAATACCTTACCTCCAATATAACTATTCTTTTAGATCAAACTGACATTTTAGACCTAACACTAAACAAAATTCCTGAAGAAAAACTAATTTAAAATCACCATACCTTCTGCATAATACACTTGCAGTCTTGAGCACCAGACATGTTTGAAAGTAGATCAAAGAGTACTTGTTGTGTGTGGCTGGTATAAGAAATTGGCTCAGCGGCGATCTTTAAAATGCTATGCAGTATCGAGCTGCTTGTCTGGGATTTCTGTGATGACTGGACAGCCATGACTCCAGTGTTCATCCAACATAGAGAGCTGCAAGCTTTCCCCCAAAAAAGAAAGGGCATTTTAATAATCACATCAGTTTGGATGCAAAACAAATAATAGCTTATGTAATAAGACAGCAATTCTACTATTACTAAGAAATAAACAAAAAACAAACAACCCCCCCCAGAAATCTGACTACAGAAAAGTGAAATCTGATTGCCTGTCATGGGTTGCTGCACTATGCACAATATCATCATCATTGTTTTTCTCCTATTGAATCGAAGTGAAAAAATGAACACTTTTACCTATCTCTATGTTAACCCACAGAGGGCAATGCATAAAGGTAAGCAACATTTTGAGTGTAAATGTTAGGCACCAGAGCCTTAGAGTTTTACCCACTTTGCTATGTTAAGGCTGTGCCATTAGGAGAGGACAGATATAAAGCAGTACAGTTACTATACAGAGATTTTAGTAGCAAATTACAGTCAATCAGCTTTCATCGCTTTACTATTGGTGTTCAGCGAATACAATTCAAAACACTCCATATCATCAGCATCCTCTCAAAATATCATATACACCATCCTGTTTGCTCCTTCCAGAACCTTCTACCATGCGCAAATTCAGGATTTCTTCAGAAAATCCCATCCTCTGGAAATCCTTACCTGTCTCTTCAGTTTTCTCCTACCCTCTCTAAAAACAAATCTCTTCAGTGAAGCCTATCACCACTTCACCTGAATTGTACTTTGTAGTTTCTTCATCAGTTCATCCCTCACAGTTATTGCTTTTTACATCACTAGCCCCTCCCTTTAAGATTGTAAGCTCATAACCCTCTTGTACTGAACCGTATTTTGACTGTACTGTCTGCCATTATTTTGTATGCTATACTGCCTCCCATTATTTTTGATGCTATATAAATCATGCATATACAACAATAATAATGCATAGACACTTATTTTCCTAGAGTGATAATTAGGGTTGTACCAATACTG